GTTAAGGTGTATAAGAGACAGGTGTAATGCCGGAGGGGAAGTCGCTCCTCGCGGGCTGGAGTGGAATTTCGGCTGGAAAGGTGACGGGAGCGGTCAGGCTGCCAAACCGGCCGCATGTAGCCGCCTGGCTCCTTTTTTTCCATTTTCCACTGAAAGACCCCAGTTTCCACAGCACGATCTGCCAGTTTGAAGCCCAGCCCGCAGCGCTCGCCGCAAAGTGAGAACATGCTTTGCCTGCTCTGCGCAGCTGAGCCGCTGGCGGTGCGGGGTGATGCTACGCCAGCAGCCCGGTCCCGGCAGGGAGGAGAGCGCAGCCTGCGCGCTGGGGCCGGGCGGGAGGGAGGTGCAGCTGCCTGCTCTGCTCCACTGCTCCTGGCAGGGTGTTCAAGAGCAGGACAGGGGCAGAAGCAGAAGTAGAAGCAGAAGGGATATGAGCAGCTGCTCTAACTACTGAATCTGTAAAACCTTCTATCTACCACTAAGGATAGGATGGAGAACTAATATTGCACTTGGATTACCTTTTCCTGCTTCCCCTGAAATCACTCTGGTTGTGTGACTTCTGCGTGTTTCTGATAATGGGTGCACAAAAACTTAGTTGATTCAGAAATTTATTGAAAAGTGAACTGTGCTGAGCTGCTCCTGCTGTCAGTTACAGGTGAGTGCTGGAGTGCAGAAAAGATGAGCTTTTTGTTGACTTTTAAGTCTAACCTTCCCTGTTTCCCTGTAGGATGGTGAGGATTATCCTGTGTTATACAGCAAGGCCTGCCATTGCTTACCCTGAGTGAGTGCCATCCCGAATGGAGAGCTGTTTGTGCACAATGGGTACAGGGGAGGTCACATTTAAATATTAATATGGTTTGTTAGGAGTTTTTCACACCTGTGGAAGTTGGTGTCCCAGTTGCACAAGGTGCCCTGATTGCTGTAGGTCAGCTTCCCTTCACAGACCTGTGGACTTGAACAATTTATTTTTGAGTTCTAGAGAAAAAAGGGTCTTTTTCAAGCATACTATGGCATGTTCTTCCTTTGGGGAAAGCCTGTGGTGTCTCCTCTGAACAACAGGCAGTTCCAATAATCCTGCTTCAGCCAGCGGTGCCAGGCACAGCAGAGGAGACTTTGAGCTTTCAGCTGCTTTTCCCTCAGTGGCTTTTTATTGCACCATTGTTGAGTTTACTCTGGGCTCCTCTCAGTGTTGATAACCATGTAATGGCTACAGCAGAAGTATGTGGCTGACTGGGAGGAAACAACCTAGGCCTAGCGTTTCTGGGCTGTACTACCTCTGGGCAAATTAAACCCTTTTTTTTTTTTTCCCCTCAAGCCTCAGTCCGGACACTGTGCCCTAAGGGACAAAATGTGCTGATGGCAATTACAGAATAGCCAGGTGCCAAGCATAGTTGAGTTGCAGCTTAATGCCTACTGCTTGTCTCTGAGCTACCTCAGCACACCCAGTGGGCTGTCAAATCAGGCTCGCTTCCACAGCTGTGTCAACAGACCTCTGATACGCAGGTGACAGGTAGTCCTCTCCAGTTACCTTCTTGGATAGTAAAGGACTTTCTTCCTATGGAGGCTTTTCTCTAATTAGGAGCTGACTTCTGTGGAGTCCTTGGTTTGTTATCACTGCAATATGTAGCTGAAATATCTGTGTAGGACAGGTCAAACTTTTCACCCTCTATTTCTAGTGATTAGTCTTCAGCCTTTGCGCCCAGGTTTGAGTGGTAAAGAGAAGATTGCCTGAGTGTAGCTCTGTGTGAAACAGGAGACTAAGAACTGGCATTAATTTCCTCTTGCTCGTTTGCATTGGCTCCATCTTTGGCAACGTGCGCCGGGTTAGTAGTTCTTGCTTTGTCTTGGCCAATGCAGTGTCTGTTCCCATGGAAATGGGGGTGGGTGGAAGTGGTAAGTGTCAGCAGAGAACTTCATCTGGATCAACTCCTGTCTGAAATGCCAGTGGGCAGGTGGTATCCACAGCCTTCCCTCCTGCCCTTGCTTCACTGGGGGGTTGCTTGATTCTGAGCTCTCAAGACATGCATCAGTTTGCATTTGTACAGTAATCCTGACACATTGAAATGCAAGCTGGGTTAAGGTCTTTTGAGGGCTGCTCTAGAGGTGGTGAAGTAATGACTGAGAAGAGGCAAATTTTATGATTTCTGTTATTTTTCTCAGTTACTGTCCCATTTGGGAATGTTGTTTGGGCCCTTCTCAGGGGGCTGTTGGGATGTCTGCAGACAGTGCCCGGTTCAGCTGCATGGCTGTGAGAACAGCAGCTGATGGAGCTGCTGGTGCTCTTGAAACCCTTCTGTTAATCTTTCTTGCTTCCTTCTTCCTGTCTTCAAGCTGGCAGGTGTTGTGTGGCTGTGGTGAGAAGGGGTTTTCTAAGATATCTTATGCTTTTTACCCTTCTGCCATTCCCCAGATTTTCACCTGAGGAGGGATAGTCTCTCAAACCTGATGCCATCAGCTGCTAACTTAAGATCTGTTGAATGAATGAGTTGAGTCAGTCCTATGTTGACTGTTTGGGTTTTGTCCTCGGAGTTTGTAATTTGAAAATGTTGTAAAAATGTTCTAGGTGTTTTTCCTCTTTGAAGCAGGAGTCAATGGCCAAGTCCTTTGGCCCTGTGCCCTGTTTGTGAAACAGACTCTTCTTTCTGAAATGGTATGAGTGAGTTTACTGTGTCTTACTTAAACTGCAGCAGGTCCAGACCTGTTTTTCTACAAGACCTGGGTTCTAGGGCTTTGGCTACTTCTGCTTCTGCTCCAGTAGTGCCGCCTCCTGGTCAGAGCAAGGAGGGGAGACAGGTCTGACAAATGCTAACCCCACTTAGGGAGGTAAGCACTTCAAGAGTATATAAAGTGTCTCTTCCACGTGCCTTAGAAACTAACCCTTCCTCTCACTGTTTTGGTCTTGAAACCCAGCTTCTGACTACGGTATGAAGCTGCCCATCTTGCGGTCCAATGCGGAAGATCAGATTCTGTACCAGACTGAGCGTTACAATGAGGAAACCTTTGGCTATGAAGTTCCCATCAAAGAGGAGGGTGACTATGTGCTGGTGTTGAAGTTTGCAGAGGTCTATTTTGCCCAGTCTCAACAGAAGGTAAGCAACAGCTCCTTGCCTGTCATTTTGATTTGAGTTCCTGGCTAAGACTGTGCATGTCCAAGTTGCTTCTGCTGCTTTGCATGCTGGAGAAGGAATGAAATAAGGCACTAATAGTTACTTCAGTTTCTAGAGCTCTTATGGGCTCTGAAACTTTGAGCTCTCTTCTACATTTCAGATACACAGTTGGCCTGGAAAACTGCATTACAGAGTATTCAAACATGCAACTAAACATAACTGGCACTAGAGGTTTACGATCTGTTTAGGCTGTTATGACTTTGAGAAGAAGTAGTTTTGTTTTTTCCCTGAAGACTTGTTCCTGACCTGACAGCATGCTTGTGCTGGAGGAAGTATTGCACAGATTGAATCAGGGAAGTGATCTGGGTTAAATAACTAACTTAAAGCAATTTTTACAAATGTAATAAAACTTGATACTCGTTTGAACTGATCCCAAAAGCACAGTGTTAAATTCAACCCTCTCTATTGCTCTTTAGAGAAGAACAGTCCTTGTCCACTTTTGAAATTCCTTATGTAAAGATGTGGAAGCAGAAGCACAAAGAACTCAAAGCCCTGTGATAAATTGGGAGAGAAGTGGTGTGTGTTTTAGTCTGGCTTTCCCCTGACTTCATCTTAAGCACTGTGCTGCCTTCCTGCCAGAGAAGTATTTCAGGGAACAGAACTGGTGGGGCTGACTTACAGAATGGATGCAAAAAACGGCCTCAGATTAAACTGAAGGACTGAGGCATCTTTGGTTCCTCTTCCTTCATGTGGTTCTGCTGGGATTCCCCAGATGGTGAGTGAAGTTTGAGTCATTACAGCCCTGAGGAGGACTTTCACTCTGAATTCACAGATGTGGTTAGCAGTTTAACATTTTATCTCCTTCAAACTCCATATCCTTCACCAGCTTGGTTCCTCTTTGCTCTGCTGCAGGTTGTCAGTTAGAAATGGTTTAACTTCCTAGGGTGTGGGGTGTCACAGCCACCCTGGGGTGCTAGGAACAGGTCCTCAGCCAGTAGGTTGAAGGAGGGTTTTGAAAGAAAAGTATGAATAAACCAAAATAAAATTGTGCTGTCCTCAGTTCTGAACAGCAGATGCAGGGGTTATTTTAAATGGAGGCAGCAGATTTCAGGGTATTTGAAAGCAATGTTAAAGCTTCAGTATCTTTACCTGGCTGCTTTTGGGCTCTGAATCCTTCCCAAGGGAGTGGAGCATGCATGATGGGACAGTGCATGCTGCAGTACTTTCTGGTCCTGGGTGTATAATGAGCAGAGACCTTTCCTGTTCTGTTCACCCTTCAACCATCACGTGCCTGAATCTGTTCTGACACACTGTCATCTCTTCCACTCTGAAGGTATTTGATGTTCGCTTGAATGGCCACGTGGTGGTGAAGGACTTGGACATTTTTGACAGAGTTGGACACAGCACAGCTCACGATGAGATCATTCCCATGAGTATCAAAAAGGGGAAACTAAGTGTCCAGGGAGAGGTTTCCACGTTCACGGGGAAGCTCCACATTGAGTTTGTAAAGGTAATAAGCTTTTCTGGGCAGAGCTCTGATCTTCCTTTTCCCCTTCTTCCCCAGCCATGTGATGCAGCTGTATGCTGGAAGAGGAGGTGGTAGTAGGTGGGGAGAGTTTCTTGCCTCAAAGCTGCAGCACTGACTTCTTTCTTTTCTTTCTGTAGGGCTACTATGACAATCCAAAAATCTGTGCCCTATACATCCTGCAAGGAACAGTGGAAGGTAAGCACAGTTGTTGAGCCAGAAGGCTCTTCCTGCTTGGACAGCAGCCTGTTGCTTCTCAGACCATGAGATCATAGCTCTTGCTGACCCGCCTCTGGCAAAGCTGTTTCTCTCACAGCAAGTTCCCACAGAGTGCAGTTGCAGAGTGAAATAGGTGTGTAGTGTCCTCCTGCTTCTCCAAGTGCACAAAGCTGTGTCATTTTTGGAATAAGAAAAAAAGAAAATGTATGGTTCAGGACTTCCTGCATGTGGGGCAGAGGAGAAGGGAACATGTCTGGTTAGTCTTAGCTTATAGCTGCGGATAAATTCCCTCTGGCCTTGGATGTTAGCAGCAGCCCTGCAGACAAGGAATTTACAGAGATCTTTTAGCTGGTAGTTAAGTGTTTCTTACCTGGAGCTTTGTTTTGCCTTCTCAGCTTGAGGACAAGGCAGTGTTTTTTCCCAGGTATCAGTTCCTGTGGATAGCAGTGGAGTGTTAGTCAAGTCCTTGCTCTTTCATCACCCTCTTTGTAAGTCTGTGCTGCAGTTGGAGCCTCTCTCACTCCTGAACTGGGGAGGTTGAGGACCCATCTCTGACCAAAGCATCAATTTGCTTTACTATTGGTCAGGGATTGCCAAGTGCTGCTGAAGATTTGGTGTGTAACCTTGTGGGCAGGTGGCACCTCACTGTGTGTGGGTTCTGCAGTTCAGGCTCCAGGCTCAGAGGAGTGGATCTGAGTGGGGTTGGGCCACGCTGCTCTGATAGGTCTGGGGTTGAGGGGATGCAGTGATCTGAGGTAGGACCATTTGTGGAAAGGGTTATTCCTGTGTGCACCGCTATCTGCTGGTCCCACAGGCAGCAGGTGCTTGTTCCTGACTAGATCTCACTGAGCAGCTGTGGTATCTGTGTATGCTGTAAGCGTGCTTTTGTGCTGTAACTTCTATGTGACGTGTAGATGAGGTAGATGCTGGATTTTTTGTAGTTGGGTCTTTAGATGCTCTTGCGTCACAGAGGAAAGAATAGTGGTGTGAGCCTTGCTGAGGGAGGATGCTCCTATTCTGTGGGGTGCTCTGGCCGTGGTGTTGGTTGGTGTCGGGTGCCCTGTTGCCTGTGTTCATGCTGGATCAGGGAGAGGGGAAGGGAGTGACTCAGGTCATTTCCCAGGTTACATTCTGCCTCCTTGCAACCTTTTGTCTTCTCCAACAGATGTTCCAAAGCTGCAGCCACACCCAGGTCTGGAGAAAAAAGAGGAAGATGATGATGAAGATGAATATGATGATGGCTCCAGTGTTAAAAAACAGGCAAATAAGAACCGGGTTCAGTCAGGCCCACGCACACCAAACCCCTATGCCTCGGACAACAGCAGCCTTATGTTTCCTATATTGGTGGCCTTTGGTGTCTTCATTCCTACCCTCTTCTGCCTCTGCCGATTGTGAGAGCAAGCCCCACAGAGCATCAGCCAAGGGGCTGGGAGGGAAGGAGTTGGACCAAACACGGTTGCTTTCAATTTCTCCATATTGTTCATAATTTAAGGAAAAAAAAAAAAAATTCATTTGGAATGAATAGCAGGTCCAGGTAAGAGGGAGCTTACCTTCCCCCTGCCAGCAAGCAGTGAGGCCCTCGCCTTCCCCTTCACACCATGTGCAGCCTCTGATTCTCCCTGGAGCATCCAAGAGTAAACTGAGTCCTGGCTGTTGAAAGCTGATGCTACCAGTCCTGGGCCACGTCCGACACTGAGAGAAAGTCATGTGCTGCAAGATCTCTGCCTTTGCTGGGTGGAATATGGTTCCTTAGCAGGGAAGCAGCCCTTAAAACCAGGCCTGGGTACACGTTTTGTCCGGAAGTGTGGAAGTTTTGTGGTGCCATTGGGTGACTAACAACTGTGGAGGACGGAGCCTGGCTCAGCATCTCCCCAGATGTGTGCAACAGGATGTATGGTACTCACCTGCACAAAGATACCAAGACTCCAGCTAGCTGCTCAGCCTCTGTGGAGACATTCCCCTGCTAAGACTGCAAGCTGCGCCAGGAGCAGAGGGATTTATCTGGCCTGATTTGCTGCACCAGTTGGGAGAGACTTTCCTAGTTTGGCAATTGTAATGTTAGATCTGTCGCAGAGGGATTCTGCTGTAGCCTGCAAGAGGCTGACGTTAGCGTCTGATCAGATGCACTAGTTTTCTGTATTGATTATGGCTTTTATTTCCTTTAATATCCTTTTCTTTTCAAAGGTTTCATTTTAAGCCCAGTTCCTTGTTTTGCCCTTTCTAGCAAGTGACCTCTCCTTTGGAAGAAGCTGAGAATCAGGTGATCTAGAGAGGAGGTTCTGGACTAATTCCTTGACCTTCCTAACGGTTAGCTCCCTGCCCGGTGACTGTGAACAGGCTGTGCCGTAGGACAGAGTGAAGCAACCTTGCGGGTGCTCCCTGTGGGCTCTCGTTGCCTGTCGCAGGGACCAGGCCTGCCTGCAGCACTGGGAAGTGCAGTGCAGCTGGTCAGCGGCTTCACTTAGCTCGGCCTTTTGTGTATCAGGGCACTGTAGTCAAGGGGCAGGTGTCCAGCATTTCAGTACTGTAGAGCAAGGTGGCTTGTTGCCCTCCAGAGATCTGGAAGTGAGCAGAACACTGGAGACAAGGTCACCCGCTTCCCCCGGGGATATTTCTGCAAGAGGTGTCTGTTTCCACATGCAGAGCCTGTGTCTGCCTGACAGAAGCTGAGCAGAGCAGAAGCCCTCGCTGTGCCTGCTGAGCAGAGCTGCAGGCTCCAGGGAGCTGCCTTCCTGTGGCCTTGGCCTCTGACATATTGAGCACTTCGGGCTGGCAGGAGACGTGTGCTGGAGCAGGATCTGTGCCAGGCAGGGTTGGGTCCTTGTGGGTCAGCTTCAATGTTGGTGAGCTCTGGGCTCACAGACACTTTACCTCCTGCTATCTCTGTTCTCAGAAGTGCTCTCTCTTTACCCTGAGCAGTGGCACTGGGTGGTATCCTCCCTTGCTGCTCCTCCCTCCTGGGCCTGAGTTTTCCTAGTGGTTGTTCTGGAGTTTGATCCCCTGCAGTGGCTCAGCCTTTCTTTGAGCTGAGGAGGGTCAGCAGAATTCCTTAGTTTCCAGAAAGGAAACCATAGGAGCAGCCTTTTTGGTCTGCTGGGCCCCAGCAGCTGAATCCTTTGCTTCCTCCTAACCCTCAAGCTGTGATGTGAGATGCCAGCTCACTTGCTCCAGAACTGGAGCTGGGGGAGGTGTCAAAGCTCTGCTCTCTGCAGCAGTGGCACCGAACCTTGCCTTTCTGATTGCATACATCGCTGCTATAGGCCTGACCCTAGTTCTGTGTCTGAGCTGAAAAGCAAGTAGTAGGACCTCAATTCCCTTCTCTCCAGTTGCACAAGTGGTAACAGCCAGTTTGGGAGAAGCAAGAGGGTCCCTGCCACATTGAAGAAGACAGGATTTAGAGAGAGCAGATCTTAAGAACAAACTTTAGGATGAGAAGGCGGTAAGCTTGAAGTTGTATGCTTCATCTTCTAGCTGCTGTTAAAATCCTAGTACTTAGAAAACTCTTATAAAATATGAGCTCTGTTTTGTTTGGTGACAGTGCCTGCAGAGATTCTCCTGTGTTTTGGGGATTGCTGTAACTGGAGCAAGGAGACATTTAGATCTTTATCAGTTTTGAGAAGCATGAACTGCGCTGATTTGTTAAGCAAAGAACCTGGGCTTGAAAGCAGCAAGCTTCTCTGTAAGGAGCTGTTTTCCTCCAGGCCTTTTAGGTTGCATTTTATTTGAGCATCCTTGAAGCAAGGAATCACTCAGCTTCTTGTGGCTCACCCAGTAATCTCTGCACCTTGCCTAGTATGAGAAAAGGGGCGTGCATTTAGGTGGGCAAAAGTCAGACAAGTCTTCTAGGATAGTTTATCCCTGCCTCTCCTGGCAACCAGGGCACCCATTTGGTGCCATCAGCCGCCCTAAAGCAAAGCTGTGCAGAGGGTGATCTGTTGTGTTCCAGTTGCTCAGTTCAAATTAATTTTTCTTACTTGAATAAGAGAGAAATAGTACATCCTTCATGACTTCAATTTAGTTGTTTTGGCTCTCGTTTTATGCATCTTTGACTACAAAGCTGGCATCTGGATGGTTGGGGAGTTCCTGATCCTGTTATGGTGCTATGAGCAGTTTTCCTTGTTTGTTGGTCCATCCCCTCCTGACAGGTTTGCCTTGGAAGGAGCCTTCAAACAAAGCATGTAGGAACATGGGAGGATGGTGGGGGATAACCAGTCAGCACTTCACTGGGAATGGTATGCTCAGGCTGGCTCCCCTTGCTGTCTCTGGCTAGCATCTGCAGGCCAGCCAGATGGGTATAATGAGGTACCTGGTCCTGACCAGGGAAAGAAAAAGTTTGGGTTGACTGTAGCTTTCCAGCACAGGTGTTAGAGGGAATATCCAAGACGTCGTTTAACTGAGACCAGTTAGAGGCAGGCCTGTTTGTGCTTTGTTGCCTCCTGCCAGCAGCAGGCAGATGAAGCACAGTCCCTGTGCAGCAGTGTGGGGAGCTGGGTCAGAACAGACCCTGGCTTGATTCGTGGAGCAGTTGTGTAGATGGAGGCAGGTAAGGCAATTTTAATAAAGCTTTCACTTAATAAAGGGGAAGGTGACACCTTCGGTCATGTTTTGGGCCTGGATCCAGCCGCAGGGTAGTGGTTCCAAAGCCTATTTTAATTACCCCCTCATCAGCCCCTCTTGTACCTTTAAGCTAGGACATTTTCCCCTTCTGTGTGTGTGACTAAAACAACAGCGCTCTGACCCTTTTGAGTATCCCAGGTGGCAGTAAGCAGAAAGCCAAATTAATTCCCTTCTCTTTTTGGTGCCTTTGTCTCAGACTTTGAATAAAAGTCTATTTGAAGAAGCTTCTTTTTTTTTAAGGAGCTTCTGAGTTGTTTTTTCTTTTTCTCCAAGGGATAGACATTCCCTGCCCTCGTGATCAGCTGGGGACTGTCTCACTGTCCCTGGATGCCAGCTCCAGAGGTCGCAGCTGAAGCAGAGAACTGTGAGCAAGTATCTTTGGTTCCAGCCCTTGAGGTCAATGGAAAAAAAAACAAACTAGTAGGGGATGGAAGAACTGGAAGAGCTCCTTCAGGTCTGGTCTTCCCCCCAGAAATCTCCTGAAGGCAGGATGGAGAACTTCCAGACAGTCTGGTGCCTGCGTGTCTGCAGTTCGGAGCTGAGTCAGTCACGGCTGGGTCCTGGTTGTCGTGTGGTGCTCACAGCTTCTGGGTGCAGTGTGGCTTGAGGGGTCCTGCCCCCCAAGCTCACTTGCTGAAGGCTTGCCCTGCATTGTTTGGGTCTGAACAGGGAGCAGAGACCTGTGCTTTATCCCTTGGCCTTCCTTTAAGTTGAAATGGAATTGCAACAGCCAGGGAAATGTCTTGATATGGGAAGTATGGTATGAACAGGCCTGTCTTTGACAGAAAACAGCAGGAGGAGAGAGAGGACCAGCAGAGCAGCTTCAGCCCTTGATGTGAGACAGGTTCCGAGCAGCTGCAAAGTACCAAGTGTTTCAGGCTCTGTTTGATGCTTGAACGTGGGAGAGATCAGTCTGCTTCTTGCACTTACTTGGTGGGGAGGGAAATATCCTTGCTGAGAATCCAAGGGAAATGGGAGCTGGGCCAGCACTGAGCTAATTTACCTACTGACGCTTCTGCATCTCCACAACAAATGCCAAAGTCTAATACAATTCAAGGATGCTTTTTTTTAATGTCAGCCTGGTTCCACCAGTCTGTCTTCACTGGCTAGTCCCAAATAGGCTCCAACAAGTATTCTCAACAGCACAAACACACCACCAGGCTGGAGTTGTGAAGGCTCAGAAACATGATTACACGAATAGGCCTCCTGTGCTGCACCCCTGCTTCACGCCCTACCCAGCGGGGCTGGGGCATGTGTGTTTCACCTTGGATCCAAACGGATTTGTCCCAGGAGTATAGTAGCAACTGCACTGAAATGGTGCTGGGCTGGATGGGAGAGGTGAAAGCAGGTCCATGTCTTCCGGGGCTCTGGCTTGCTCAGAGTTTATTGCTGTATATTAAATACTATTTTTGGAGATTGGGGGGAAGATGTGGGAGGGGGAGGGATGTGGTGGCACTGTCCCCAGTCTGATCAGTGGGATGCTACTGCAGGCTATTGATAGTTTTTTTTTTTTTCCCAAAAAAGTGCTTTATTTAAAAAAAAAAAAAAATCAACAAAACAGAAGTGCTTTCCTCCCTCCTAGAAACAGTACTGGCTGATTAGAAAATGTGAATCTTTTGCAGACACCAGAAGTCTCTGCTAAAGAGTTTGTGTGATGGCGTTTTCAAGGCAAGGGGTGAAGTACAGCTTGAATCCGTTTAACTGGGGAGAGTGTGAATGGAGGAAACGCAGGGTCTCTGCCCTGGGGTTGTTCCCAGTCACCCATAGTGGGGATGTGTTTGCTTGGGCTACCAGGCTGTTCTGTCACACTATAGCAACTCCTCAGCTAGGGCACTGCAGTGGAGCAGCGTCTGGAAACTTGCTGGCAAGTGGGGACTTGAATATTTTGTGGTTTCTACAAGGGCTTCATGTATTTGGGGCTTTCCCGCTTGAGAAGCAGCCAGGTTGGTAAAGCAGCCCCAGAGACTGTGAGAGCAGAGGCAGGGTTTGTGCTCTGTGCCAGGAAGCAGTAGCCAGGCCTGCGAGATGCTGGGCAGGTGGCGTTGATGTTTGGGTCCCGTTGTCGTAGCAGGTTGTAGCGTTGGCAGGTCAGCCCACTGCTCCATAGTGCCCGGCTGTGTAAGCTGGGACGCGAGGAAGTGACCCGTGCCCTTGGCATTAACGACGTGTCACAAACTACTTGAAGCTGCAGGTCTAGGTTGTCTGTAAAGGCTAAAGCAGTGTGGGGAGAGATCTCCATCTGTACTTGTCACCAGTACAATGGGCTTTTAAGGAGGATTTTTTTATTTTACTGTCCATTGCTTTGTGTTATAACAACTTGCAGTGACATTTTTTTTAGTTGATTTTGCAGCAAGCTTGAGCCCTGGGTGAAAAGCACAGATGTCTATTTCTGATTGCATTGGCTTTGCAGGGACTAGTTTGGGGGAAAAGATGGGTGTGGGGGTGGGTTATTTTATTTTTGGTACATGGTAGCGGTTTTATTTTTTAATTTCCCCAGGATGTTCGGTTGAGGGAATGTTCTGAAATCTACTGTCTGGCAGTTTTAACCAGCAGTGTGTTAAAGGAAAATAAACAAAATTATATTGTCACTTGGATGAGGTGGTCCCTCTTTTCTAGTGGTGGGGGCAGAGGAGCCCCCTGTGCTTTACGGCTCACGGTGTGGGAGGCTGCGACTGACTGCACTGCGGAGGGGACTGCGGGCTGCCGCCGAGATGCAGTTTAACATCCCACCACTGCTGCAGCCCAGAGCCTCTCCCTGCCGCTGCCTGCCTTGGGTGTAGCTCCAGTATTCTCTTGCCAGTTGTTCTAGGCGATTAAGTGCAAGTTGAACAGTACAACATCCTCTTAAAAGTGCTGATGTGGACCTTGTTGCTTCCTGCCCAGATCAGGAACACCAGAGATGTAATCTACCTTTGGGGTTTTACAAGCTGCCCCGACTTCAGCTTGAAACTGCATCAGAGGTGGTCAGAAGGCTGCAGCTGGAGCAGAAAGTTACACTTTCCTTCTCTGTGTGCCTGCTCTCGGGGGACAAGGGACCCTGGCCCATGCAGAGCAGCTGCTCTTCCAGTCAGCCTGGGTCTTTGGTCTGTCCTTCCTGGGGCGCAGGATGGAGGGACCAAACCCGATGCAACGAGGAGGATTTGAGAGCACTGGCATGGGCAAGCTTGTTTGAAATAGCATTCAGCTGGCAGTAGCAGGCACGTGCTGCTTACAAGCAGCAGTGAACGTCACTAACCACTGTTCTAAATCTGTTTCCAGTCATCTTGAACATGTTGAATGTTGGCTGGAGTCTGAAACGAGGATGCAGATGTTTCTTGTTCTTGCCCCAGTTCCCTGAAGGGATGGAGGTGATTCTTAGCAGCTCTTCAGTGGCTCTGGCAGGCTGGTGGGCAGCCCCTCTTTTGGGAAGATCCTTTCCTCAGTGAGATGCTCCTGTGGGATGCACTGTTCCTGCTTGGATCTGGGTCCCAGCTCCCCGGGGACAGCAGATGGGGTGTCCCCAGGCCAGGGCAGCAGTGGGGTGTGCCCTCCATGGCACCCCCCTGCTGAAGAGTGCTTGTCACTCTCCCCTGAAAGGACCAGGGCCCTCCGGGGGACACCCGCTTGCTGTAATCAGACCGTGATTTGATTACCGGGAGACGCGGGTGCTCCCGCCGCGCGGCGAGGGGGTGACTGCCGCCTTTCTGCGTGGCGCCTCACAGTGCCGGGGGCTGCGGGGAGGGGGAGCAGCGCGGGCGGGGCCGGCTCGGTGCGTTTCTTTACCTCAGGTAACTCCCACCTTCCGCCCCCCTCCGTGCCCCGCTGCGCGCAGCCCCCGGAGGAGGCGTCGCCGCCGGGCCCGGGGCCGCCCCGGTGGGT